ATCCATGTCTTCTTTGGTGCATTTCGATGCACCCTCCAATCGGTGGGGCGGGTCAACCAGAGTAGGCCATGGGGGTAGCGGCTTGGGTCGACAAATGTGGCCAAACCAACGGAGTCGGCGGCGCTGGATTAGGTCGCCGATCGTCAGTTGGCTGCCACAGCTGGTGAGGATGGTGTCATTCGAATGACTGTCGTGAAGGGAAACGCCGAGAATGCATCTAAGGCAACGCATTTGGAAAACTTCGAGCTTGCTCAGGTCGTGTTTGAGCATTGTCCACGTCTCTGCGCCGTAAAGTAGAATGGGCAGGATCAGGGTTCGGTAAAGGCAGATCTTTGTCGCCAATGAGATGTTGTTCTTCTTCCAGACGCACCAGCGCAGGGAAGCAAATGCTGCCGCCGCCTGCCCAATTCTGGAGCGTATCTCCACTGATGATGCCACTTTCTTCTCCTCGACGAGGGACCCCAGATATTGAAATTGTTGGACTTGTTTGATCTGCACACCATCGAGGTGGACGATCGTTGGTGAGCCGTCGGTGGTCAGGACTTTGGTCTTCTCGGCGTTAACCTTGAGGCCATACAGTTTGGAGTGCCGGGCAAAGTCATAGAGGATGTGAGTTGCCTCGGTGTCATCTTCGGCAAAAATGGCGCTATCGTCAGCGAACATTAGATCGGTGATAAATCGATTGGTCGAGGCTTGGACTCCGCGGCGGCCCTCGAATGCTTTGCGCATTATCGCATCGATGACGATGTTGAACAACAGCGGTGACACCACATCGTCCTGCCGGGCCCCTGTCATGATGGGGAATTCTTCGGACACTTCGTCATGAATGCGTACCTGGCTGGTCGAGCCATCGTAGGCGGTTTGTAGTAGTTCGATGAAGATCATCGAGCTACTTCTGATGAGTTGGCGATACTCATCTGTATCATCAGCATATATCATCAGTACTTATCACACTCACTCTGTATTTTGTCTCTCTCTCTCTCACACACGCTCGCACACACACACACACACACACACACACACACACACACACACACACACACACACACACACACACACACACACAGAGATACTTTTTGGCTGAATATGTGACAATGAAAATCTGAGTTGTTAAAAATCATTAAAAAAATTATAGTGGTTGTTACTTTTTCAACTCTTTCTGCTAACTTCCTCCACATGCACAGGCCCAACTCTGCATGTGGCCACAGTAGACATAAAGAACCCGGAGATCAACAATGTCCGATTCCACAACTCCCACAGCCATCAACAGCCATATCACATCAACAACATGCTGAGCCACAGCGGCCTGAGCCGGAAGGACAAGAAAACCAAAGGCAAGAAGAAGAAGCTGACGAAGGCCGATATCGGCACGCCGAGCAACTTCCAGTGAGTCCGAGTCACACCACACAGTGTACTGAGTGCTCCAGTGCTGAGCAAATAGGACTTTTTTTTAATTTATTGAACCAAATCAAATGTCTAAAATAATGAACATATTTTATCATGTAGTTAAACTTTTTCATCTGTTGATGGAGAAAATTTCTTATTATTAATATTTATTATTGCACAATCAAATTTTGACAGTTTAGTAACTGCAGTTCTTCCATATGGGCAAGCTGGTCTTGTGGCCATTCTGCTCTCTTAAGGCCTTTTGTCTTGTGGCCAAACAGATTTCAACTGCAGTATCCTAGATTTAACCTGGCAACAGTAGTCCTAGTTCTGCTGTGGAGATCTGCTGTGAGTGGGAGAGCAGAACAAGGACCACCAGCTGCAGTCTAAGTTGGTGTGGTTGAAAATTGTCTACGAGATGTAGCTGATTATTTCTCTGTTGTTTACTGTCACAAGGGTAGGGGTTAAAAACGTGGTCCCTTTAGCACATGTGCATATATATCCTCACATATGCACACATACCACGCTGTGAAACCCACAAATATGACCTAATTCACACCTCCAGCTCATAGTTGATCTCCAGAGTAGGGCTGTTCGATATAACGATATATATCGGCTGACGATATAAAAACGTTTATCGTTTCATTTTACGCTATCGCTTGTTTTGTGGTGTCGCAAAATAAACTGTTTACGGCAATATTTTTTCATCGTTTTGATGAAATTTCTTAAAGTTCTCTCTTTCTCTTATATTTAATATAACCACACTACAGACGGACAAGTGCCTGTTTTTATGCGTTGTCGTTAGCAACAACGACGGTAAAACCACCGCGTGTCTGCTTGTTTATTTTCCACATAGACCTTTCAGAATAAAGCTCAAGATCCTGTTGAGACCTTTCAAAATAAACTGAATGACGTGAAAGAGTATGCAGAGTGTTTATGGATGAGAAGCAAAGCCGTCAGGTGCTAGAAAACAAACCTTAGACTCAAACGTTAGAACAGGCTTTTCCCCGCAGCACGCCGTGTAATAAATACTTACAAAGAAAACTGCGGCTGTTACAACTTATGTCTAAAAATGTATCGATTCATCCATTGGTTAAAACACTCGACTCCAGCTACATGACGCCCAGCTGGAAACACTTCCCACAAGTCGAGCTGCCCGAGATTCACAGAATTTACAAAAAATGTTAAATTTTTGTGATTTATATCGTTATCGGGACGATAGATGTCTTATATCGGGATATGAGATTTTGGTCATATCGCACAGCCCTACTCCAGAGTGGGAAGGCTACTATTCCCAGCTGCAGGTAATCATGATAGAGTTGTAGCTCATCCAGCCAAAAGATTTTCTGTGAAAGCAGCTGAATCAAGGTCACCATAACAGTGACCAGTGGATTGTGTCAGGTTACATTTCACCGCGTGTTATATTTGTATAACTATGCATGTGACGAATAAAGAATCTTGTATCAAGCTTGCTGATTGGAAAACACAACATTAGAAAGGCTGGTGTTAGCTGGTAGGCAGAGACTGAACAGCAGAAAAGGAAAAGTCTGCTTTACACACCCTAAAACTTGAAACACAATGACAAATGATAAAGTTTTTGGACTGTGGTGTCTGTACAGTCTGATCTAGCAATGATAGGCTCCTTTGTGGCAACAGTGAACATGTTACATTAACGTCTGAGAGCCTTCAATGGCCACATTATCAGAGTGTAGTGTGTGCATTCACTGTGTATCATGTGCACATGCTAAACAGCTGATGTTCTTCTGTGTACTTACATACGCGTGTTTGCATGATCTCACTACACATCTGTCTTCTTCAGGCACATTGGTCATGTGGGCTGGGATCCAAACACAGGTTTTGATGTGAGTACCCCCCTTTGTATGTACACACACAAGCAAGCACAGTAGTGACTTGTGTGGTGGCTGCTTGATGAAATCGCACAAATTTGGCTCTTGTTGCTTCCTGCTCTGCATCTGAGAACCTGCACAGAAGGAATTTGCAGATTTTCTGTCAGGTCAAAAAAACATCTGTAGGTTATATCTTTGTAACGCTGACTCTGTGGGCAATAATGTAGCTGTCACGCTGTCTTCCGCTTTCCTTGTACTGGCAACATTTACTGTGTGTTACTGGATCATTTATGATACATTACTATATGACTTGCAATTAATTAAAACGTACTTGTTTAAAGCTTTATGTGTCTACTTTACAGACCCAAAATGTATAAGGATGATGGATTCAGACTTGATTAGGCCCAGATCAGTCATGTCCCTGCAAGTCCCATTCAGATACATTTTGGATCCATTCACAGTTACTTATTGTCCCGACAAGATCAGGATACACTTTTAGAAATTGCTCAACCTTCCAAAATTATACAGAAATATCTAAAATGTAGTTGACCAACATGTAGATCGCTCTCTAAAGGCTTCTGGCATTGTTTTTAGTTAAATTTAGTATTTAAATTTAGTTTTGTGTTTTTGTTTTTTTTTAGCTTAATGTAAAACTGTTACTGTTAGCAACAGTTAAACACCTCTCCTGTTGCTGTAAGAGAGCCATCATGTGTCAGTGAAGTCTGATAATAGACAAAATTATACAAAGTTCCACTGAGCAACATTAAAGTATTTTTTTCTGTAAATCACATTAAGCATTTTTATCCAAAATTATTAACAAGTAAAGACTGTTTCTGTTGTTTTCACATTCAGTTGTTATCAGAAGCTTGCATACACTCAACATGGGCGCGAATGTTTTGGTAATTTTGGGCTTTTAATGGTTTCTTTGAAGTGTTTTTCCAAGTTGGAATGAATGTACAGCATATAACCTTAATGATTTAAAAAAAAAGATGCAGATGTTGGAGTTTATTTTGGGTTTTCTCTAATCCAGACCTGTGTCAGTTATCTTCTCTCCAGCTGATCATATCATATGCGTTACAGAAGTCACATTTTGTCTAAAGATTTCTGAAGAAATAGACCAATGTGTTAAAAATGGCTCACAGCAGTTATACTGCACATCAGGCTGTGCACAGGAAATGAATCGTACTAACAAAAAACTCAGTTGCTGCTAAAACATCTATTTTAGTAGCATCCTTTAAACAAAACCTGTAAGGTTAGTATAATCTTTAAAGCTTCGATAAATGTTTCTAATGCACAGAAGCATAAGAAAAATAAAAATACCTGATTGGATACCAGGAATCAGGGTACAGCCAGTGTGCATTTCCTGCTGCTCACCACAAGGTGTCACACGGCACTTTGAGCGTCAGTCTGAGCTCCTGCACTGCGGACAAATTAAACACTCATCAGACCTAGAACATGAGGAAGTCTATTATTAGTTTAAAAAAAACAATCCAACATAAACAGGGAGCTGTTTAGCTTTTAAAACCAGTTTTATTCAGTTAAAGGATCTTTAAAATATAAAGCACTTTGAGGCCACTGCTGGTGTGATTCAGCTCTATATAAATAAGACTAAATTGAAACTGAATTGAAGATCTTCAGCAGGAGTTAATATTTCCATAGACAAACAGTGACAGTAAGTAACATACCAGGTTAAAGGCTTAGCCCGGATACATCTTTGTCTGCAGGCAACTGCAGACTCGAACAGCAAACTTACCTGTTCTTCCATATTTACTTCAGTCCTTTGTTTTGTTTTTTTGTTTGTTTGTTTTTGTCTGCACAGCATAAAAAAATCAAAAGAGGAAACTGTAAAAGTATCGACAAAAAGATGTGAATTAAACTGCAAGCATTATGACATTCACAAAACAAGCATCGTGTTTACCTTTCTGGACCAATGTCAGTCATCTTCAGTGAAGACAGTGAAATCTGTCACATACATCCACACAGAAACCAAAGAACACACTTTACAGCCCAGCAGAGTTTATATTTTAAATGTCATGTAGTATCACCTGTTATTTCTCCACTACATTGTATGAGAAAGATGACACCTGTGGCAGCCACCTAGTGTTTTGGTGTTCAGGGCATTTATTTTTAGTTCATATTGTTTTATATCTCTGTGACTATCTCACAAACAAATAATACGTCCACTCCAACTGTGTGGAAGCTTTAGGTAGTTATATTTAGGGCAATATCCCACAGTGACAGCTACAAATAAGCTAAAAAGATGTGATCCTTTTGTAGATTTCAAATAAAATGAAAGGTAAGCTGATGTAGTAAATATTCTTTTATTGGATTAGAAAATTGTACACTATAGTTTTCTTTAGATTTTGAATATATCGGAGCATTAAACAGGCGGATGTGTTTTTGGGTTTGAGGGTCCAACAGGACAGAGATGATACAGAAACATGACATCCTTATAAAGTTCACACTTTAAGTTTATGAATGTGCAACGTTTCACAGTTCTCATTCTCTAGTTACTTGCTGGATGAAAACATAATTTTGACTTATAAACACATGGACATACTTCATATAGAGAGGAAAAAGGGGGAAATGGGACATAAACTCCTGCACAAATGCTGGGCTTTATAGCAATGATGACGGGCTCAGGTTGTGTGATATGAGCAGGACAGAAACACCACAGAAGGGGAAGAATGACAAAGTTGATTCTGATTGATAAGACTTTGATTTACCTTGTATCTGGGTTTACATGTTATTGATATACAGACATATCTACTGTCTCTTTCTGCTGCCATCAGACATTAAAAAGTATTAGATGAAGTTTACGTCACTGTTACCAACGCCCATATTAACGGCCACCCAAGTATTTTTGTTTTTCTGTGGCTAAAGTCATATTTGAGTTGCTGGCCTGGTTTTTGCACCATAAGGTCCTTCATAAGGTCCTCCCCAGCGTAAAGCGTATTTTAAAATATACTTTGTCAACAGCTGAATAACCTGGACCCTGAACTGAAGAACCTGTTCGACATGTGCGGCATCTCTGAGGCTCAGCTGAAGGACAGAGAAACGTCCAAGGTCATCTACGACTTCATCGAGAAGAAGGGAGGGGTGGAGGCAGTCAAGAACGAGCTGAGAAGACAGGGTGAGCACACACACACACTCACACTCACACTAACCTACCTGTGAACTGAACTGATAATTACAAATTGTTGAACAGTATAAAAAAAAGTTTTAAGTTCCCATTTTTTGTCTTTCACAGAGAAATAGAAATTGTTGAACTAGAAATAGAAATGTCTTTGTTCAAAAATGTACTGTGAACACAGAAATGATACAGTATATTAATTACATTTTTTAAATTAGAATAAAATGCTTATTTTTTTTTATTGTGTTGTTTACCACTTCCAAAACACATAGCTATTTCATCGTTTTGGGGATATTTCATCATTAAAAAAAATAATTAATAACTGAATAAATGCCAGATTTAAGTGAAATGTTCATAAAAATCCAGTTGATTCTCACTGGTCAGTGTATGAAGTCAGAGATCTGATGTTTTGAACTTTTATAAATTCACGTTGCAGTTCTTCTCACGGTTTTATCTTGAGCTGCCACCTGCTTCCTTTTTTCACATCACACAGCAAATATGAGCAGATCAAGTGCTTTTCTGAGTCTGAATTGTTATTTTGTGAAACGTACTCAGATTCTTCTGTCCTGACTGTTTGAATCATGTTACCATGGACTAGTTAGAAAAGAGGTGTTTGAATTTAGGACAGTGCCAGCGTATGTGTTGGTGTAAATTGAACCCCTCTTTAATTACCTGTTATATTTTAATAATGCGAGTCGTTCCCTCATTTATCTTTAATATTTTATAAGAATTTTATTTTTTTTAGTGTTGCAGACTAATACTGGTTAGTTTATAAAATGCCTTGTTTGAGAGAGTAGCCTGTAGTATGAAGTTAGTTTAGCATGCACATGATATATTTTACTCATGTGGCTTCAAATATTTCAGGTATCTACAGTCACATGAAGGTGGTTTGAATTTAGTAAGACAATCTGTGGTTACTTAATCTAGTTAACTTAGGAAAAGTTGGTGTAATCAGCATTATATCACTGAGAAACATCGACAGGGATAAGACTCTAAGCTCTCAAGTATCATTTTACTTGGTGCATTTCAGGGAAAGATAAAGACTTCAGACGATCTCTAAAGTTTCCAGGGATTTAGAGGTTTTTAGGTTCTTCCTAAAAAAAATTCCAGTGAGCTGATTGGTCGATAGATGGTGATTTCTTACAAGTTTATCTCTTGTGTCAAACACAACCTGCTCTGCAGCAGACTGGGCCTGCAGCATAAGTAATTGTTGCAGTGTGGTAAGAAGGCTACGTTCAGACTGCAGGTCTTAATGCTCAATTCCGATTTTTTTGATCAAATCCGGGTTTTTTTGTCTGCTTGTTCACACTACAAATAAAATGTGACCGCAAACGCGCTCCAGTGTGAACCCTCAAAGTGGCCCACATGCGCAAAAGAAGATGTCACACACAACGCGCCGTTTAGACCCAGACCAAACGGTATTGTTTGACTGATGGCCGTTAATATAAAGACTTGTTTCGAACTTTACGTTTCCCAATTTTGCTTTAAGTTATTAAGTTATTTTGTTATTTACATTTGGCCTGATGATTATCCTTATTGCTGTTTTAGAGAGGAGCGGCGCTTCAAAGGATAGTTGCAGATTTCTGTCAGAATCTGCAGATTATACAGTACAAATAAAATGTTCACGTTTCTCCAACGTTGTCTTCACAACAGTTTCACTGACATCTACACTGGATGGCCAGGAAGCGTTCACAATGTCTCCGGCGCTGAGAATTAGCGTCTGTCTTGTGTCAGTGACGTAAAAGTAGGATTTAATGCGACATGACCGTTCAAACAGCAGTCGCTTTCTGAAACATCAGATATGTATCGGATTCAGTACCACATACGACCCAGATCGGCTTTGAAAGGCGCTTTCGCCTGCAGTGTGAACGTAGGCTTAGTTACTTTGGGGCTTAGTTACTTTTCTGAGCTCCAGATCTAGATGTTTCCCCAGATCACAGTGCTGCAGCAGAGTGGAGCAAAACTGCACAAGAGTTAAACGTAGGATGTTTCTTGTTGTGTTCTATTTCTACAGCACCCCCTCCACCACCTTCTCGAGGCGGCCCTCCGCCTCCTCCCCCGCCGCCCCACAGCTTGGCTCCACCCCCACCTCCACCTTCCAGAGGAGGCCGAGGAGCCCCTCCTCCCCCTCCTCCATCCAGGGCCCCGGCCTTAGCCCCGCCTCCACCACCTCCCTCCAGACCGGGAACTCTGGGTGCCCCACCTCCCCCACCTCCACCCACCAGGGGAAGTCACCAGCCGCCTCCTGCATCCCACCACCACCACCAGTCTCCCCCTCCTCCTCCCCTTCCTTTACATGCCTCTGTTACTCCCCAACCTCCACCCCCTCCACCTCTCCCAGTGGCACAGCATTCTGTGGTGAGCAGCACTCCTGCACTGCCACCTCCCCCTCCTCCTCCCCCACCTGGCCCACCTCCTCCTCCAGAGCCAGATAGCGTAGGTGGGGGTGGAGACTCGCCTCATTCACCAAGTCCAAGTGGGAAGTCGGTGCTGTTGGAGCAGATTAGAGGAGGAACCCAGCTGAAGAAGGTGGAGCAAAACAACAGAGTGCCAACTTCTAGTACTGGACGAGATGCCCTGCTGGACCAGATCCGACAGGGAATCCAGCTCAAGACTGTGAGTCAGTCCCTTTGATCACTGCGATCACTACAATAATACATAATTAATACTTGAGGCTTTATTTGCACATATGAAGACAGCCTTTTTTTGTTTCCTTTCGTTCTGGGGTTGTTGTTTTTTTTGTGAAAACCCACATTGTAGTTCCTGGTAGATTCTTCATAAGCTACTTGGAAATTTTACTACTTATTAGCCAGCTAACCACAGTCTCAGATAAGCCCACCAAAATTACCAGTGGAATGTTTTGTTTTTGTTGTTTACTGCTTAAATCAGCCTGTCCACTGTCTACTCCAAAACTAAGCTTTTCCTATATTCAGCCCTTTTTAGACAAATCTTTTATGGCAGTGTAAACGTATCTATGCATTTCATACAGTCACTCAGTCTGCCTTTAAGTCAGACTTAAAAATTAATGTAATCAAGATCCTTTGTGGAAAAAGATGTATTCAGAGATCTGATGTTTCCCCATTTGTTTTATCTACTTCATAATCATAATCTATTTTGTAAAACTGAACCTAGGTCTTATGTTATAATTAAATTATGAGGTTTTCTACAGTGTATATAAAGTACTGCAGTGTGGGCATAACATTCAACTAATTTAGCATGATTTTTAATTTGTATAATGAGAGTTTATGTTTTGGGTTGTTTGTCATTTAAAGCAAATTCCATAAATATCTTTTGCAAATGTGCCTTTGTGAAGACTATTCAGAAAACAAGTGGACATGTAGTGAATGGACATGGGTATTTCAGCAAAAATACTACTTGATGTTCCACTTTTCATCCCGAGTTTTTCCACCTCACCCCCAAAAGCTTCTGCTACTACTGGCAAAAGGTGGCAGTGAAGAAACCCTACTAGACTACCAACCACGAGAAAAGATGCATTTTAAGACAATACATTTTTAATCTACCTTTTCATATGAGCAGTTTTCCATTATAAATGTCTAAATGCCATAAGATTCATTTAAAGTTAAAACGTTCATCTTAAAACAATAATGTGAAGAGCAAACTCTGAACCACAACTTTCCTCTGGATTGTGTTACAATGCTACAATGTTGCAATTCTTTTTATGTATTCTGTTTGTCTGTTCCCAGGTGTCGGATCATCCAGAGTCCGGCCCTCCGACACCAGCTCCAACCACAGGCATTGTTGGTGCTCTCATGGAAGTGATGCAGAAGAGGAGCAAAGCCATCCATTCCTCAGGTAGCAGCCTGAAAATGTTCCTTTTTCTGTCAGTCGATTTTCTCCATGGACCTTTCAACCTGTTGTTCATTGTTTATTCTTTAAGTTTTTCTTCTGTTGTTGAAATCAGAAAAATTACCAGTGTTTCAGTTTAGTTTTCTCATCAAACATGTAGTCAAGTACTTATCACTGCCCCACCTCTCACGTGTGTGTGCGTGTGCGTGTGTGCGTGCGTGTGTGTGTGTGTGTGTGTGTGTGCGTGTGCGTGTGCGTGTGTGCGCTATCCCTGAATGCACATCAGGGAGACTGAGCAAAGGTTACCATTGGGGGTGTGTGTCTGTCGGCACATGTGTGGTCATCTGTAAAGTCTGTTCACTCGTTTATTTCCTGTTTAGATTTTGATTGACTGAGCCAATATGAAAACTCTCCGCCTTCTTCATCTTAATGTTTCTTTTCTCAGATGAAGATGATGATGATGACGAAGATGAGGATTTTGAGGATGACGATGAGTGGGATGACTAATCAGCGCACACACACACACACACAGTTTCTCCTAAAAACCTAGTATCTGACTGACTAAAAATGTAAATGTTGTATGAACTTGCTGTATATTTATTTTTGCCTTATTTCTTCTCTTTTTAAAAAAAAAAAAAAAGATTATTATAAATAATCTGTGCAATACCTGATCCGTTAAATCTGGTCCGTTTGCCACACATCCTCACAACTCCACATGTCATTTCCCTCATGTCATTAGAAGCACTTAAATCCAGCATCAGCACAATGTGGAGACGGCACCAGCTACATTTCACTTTCGCTAATAGGTGAATAGAGAACACTCAACTTTGAGGAGTCTGAATCTGTGTGTGCTCCTTGAGAAATATTTGTGTGCGTTTTCATGTCTTCATTCCTTGAAAATTAAAAGGGAGACCAAATGGGCATGATCATCTTTGTGTTTGATAGCAGTTGGTTTAGTATTAGAGAACACTATTAGTTTCTTTTCATACTTTCAAGTTCCCTGCAAAATTTTGGTTGCGTCTTCTTTTTTCCCCTTTCCTTTGATTCATCTGTTGCACCATGTCCTCGACTTCCATGATAGTTTTTGTTTTTTGTTTTTTTTTTGGGGGGGGGGATATCAAGCAGGACAATGGGGTCCTTTAAAAGACTAAAAGTTGCTACTTCAGACATGACTGGTAAGTTAGGTTTTTGTTTGGTTTTTTTCATTGGATCTAGTTCTTTTTTTGCCATTCTTGTGACATTCCCTGCAGCATGTGGGTTTGCACTGCCTGTGATCCTGCATCTGTAAACATTGTAGGAAAATTACTTGTTTTAATTTTTTTTTATTGCCCTCCGGTGAGGCTTAATGCTGCATTTAGAAGCTACTGACGTCGACCAAGTGAAAAGGGAGCGAGACAGGCAGTGGTGGTGCACAGTCAATAAGAATACTAAATTGTATACCTAAATAAATGTTATTTACAGAGAGGCATTTGTCTTCTATTCTTTGTCTGAATGGTTTACAGCAGAAATTCACTGAGATTTGTCACATGGGATGTGTGTGGAGTTGGTTTCAGGGAAGAGGCTTAAAATGACTAGCCAGTTAACTCATGTGCCCAAAATATTTGCATGAACACACCTCTCCGCAGTTCCCTCACACGGACTCGTACCTACACGTACATCTAAAAATAAAATATCTATGTATTGATGGTATATACTGACCAAATGTTGATGACCCCTCCTTTAACCATACATTCTTCACTTCACTTTCGGATCACTCTGACACCACCATTATAATAGGGGGAGACTGCAACCTGGGTTTTAATCCAGGAATTCATAGAAATTAGTCAAATGAACTGGGAGTCTGCAGATATTCTTAAACAATACATGAATGATTTTGGTCTTTGTGATGCTGTGTGTTCACATCACCCCACTCTCAGAGACCAGTGCACCACTCACATTCTTCCCGAGATTACTTTTTAGTTAGTAGCTCCATTATGAGGGAGATTACAGGCAGATTCGTTCAATCAATATTGGTGATTGTGCAGCATTGTCTTATCTTTGTGACACAAAGAAGATGCATCACCAATTAGGAACTGGAGATTTATTACATCATTACTTAAAGAACAAGATTTCAGTCATTATTTCAAAAACCAGTGGGAAGTGTATTGAAAAATTAATTACCCTAAAATACTTAAAGTATTCTTAAACTAGGTTGCAAAGCCCTTGCCAGAAGATTAGAAAAAGTCACTTCATTCATAATAGGTTTTATCAACACTCAGCCAATAAAACATGCACGCTAATAATTGTAAGAGATTATTGCTTCAGAGAGAACACATCTGCAAAACGCTGTTGCAATTCAGCAACATCTTTTCGTTGGTTCTGTATGAGATGGTCATCATAATGAAGGGAGGCAGGAATGGTGGAATTTGGCAGCGCCAGACCTTATTCCACCTCTTTCCTTCTCCAAGCTCACCAAGGAAGCAGTTTCAGCCTTTGTCCATGCTCTTAGGAGGTTAAGGTGCAATTCCTGAGCTTGGAGAAGGTTCTCCCTTGATAATCTTCACAATGTGTGTAGCTTTTCTCTCTGGTCCAGAAAGTACAAAATTTCTCTTTTTGTTCTGGGCTTGGACCTCCCCCAGTTTCCGTAAGTTAGGTCCTAAACCCCCTGCGGCTTCCTGCCGAACAGTAACTCAAAGAGAGAAAATCCCATGGAGGCGTGGGGCATCTCCCTGCTGCAAACAACATAGGTCTAACCAGTGACCATTTTGCTCATCCTTGTGAATGAACTTACGAATCATGGATTTTAAAATCTTATTTAGCCGTTCCACCAACCTGTCAGTCTGAGGGTAGGTGAAACAGATCTAACGCCCAATAATTCACATAGTTCTTTTAGTGTGTGAGTATCTCCTTCAGAATGCCAACTAAAGAGAAAACCTGAAACAGTGCCTGCGCAAGACTTTTTGCAGAAATGTTGCACAGCAGCCCTTCTTTGTGATATTGTATTGCATCCTTTAGAACTAATAAAAAGCGAGTGAAGTGCCCGATGAGGTCCGTGCCAATGCATTAAAATTGGACCTCTATTAAAGGTAACAGGTGGCTGGCTGGTTCACCAGGCAGCAACAGAAGCCACTGACACGTCTCTGCAATGGCCTGAAAAACCTCCAGGAAGGCCAGTGGTTGTCCCCTTCATCTGTTAGAGTGTCACTGTGGGTTCCAGGAGGGGCAGCGGTGGTGCCCAGGAGGTGCCAGGACGAGCAAAACAGATTGCCCAAAACTTTGGTGTAGCACTCAGCCTGGTTCTGCTACCGTTCTAGCTGTTGTTGGTGCACTGCCATCTGTTCCATATGCAGGGCGGTAACTCAACCACGATCTTGGCGCATTCGCTGGCTACGCCAGTTGCTGGTCCATTGGCATCACTGTGTAAGTAAGACCCGTCACACTCAGCACTGTACTATGAGTGACAATTTATTTATAGTGCTTTATATACAATAACAGAGGTGTAGCTTTTCAGCTTCTGTTGGCTAAGTTTGCCCTCTTCTTGTCCTCTGTCTGCTCCCACTCCTCTCTTCTGGGTCCCGGCATGCTACTCAAATAGTGGCGACATGATGAAATTAATGAGAGACAGCTGTGACCTCCAGCCTTCCATAGCACTGCCCCCTGAACCCACTGTTACACCCCGCCCCTTCAGCTGAGACACAAACCATACCCCACCACACCTACTATTGCCTGGTTTGAGTCACTAGAGTCAAACATCTCGAAATCTTTATGGAAAAATAAACCATCACAAATAAGTTTAAAAAAAATATACGAAAGACAAAACCCAATGTTGGTCTAAATTAAGCTTGTTAGACAGCCCATGGCTGAAACTAGAACAACTCTGTGGAAAAGTGAAAATCTGCCTTTCATGAGCTCCAGTGTTAAGCATCATAGCTGTTTTAAAAGCCATAAGAAAGAGTGCAGGAATTTCAATTTTTTGATAAACAAAAACAAAACAAAAGTAAAAATTTAAAAGCAGTAAAAGTAAGACTGACATTGTGTCTCTGTCAATGATGCTGCATCTCCAGCAGACAACAGCAAAATAGATGAAACTCACTATCACAGGCTGGTAGAAGATCTCTAACATCTTGCTGCACACATTAATGGATCTGAGCTTCCTTAGAAAGTACATTGTGCTCATCCCCTTCTTATACACAGCATCACTTATGGTCCTCCAGTCCAGTCCGTCATTCAGGTGAATACCCAAATACCTGTATCTGTCTACTGTTTCCACCCTAGTTGTATTGGAGATTATGTATCGGAATTTCAGGAGCAGGACCACGCCTCCAAACACGCTCCTTCCGGTTGTCATCTGTATAGGTTCCCCCAGTTCTGCAAACTGTTCATTCTCATTTACGTGCCCCACCCTCCCTCCCTCCTTGTTTTCAATTCTTTAACTTCTTCATTTCTATTTAGTACATGGGGATCTGCCAGGCGTGGGAGCTGTCGCCAATCCCCTTCGAGGCCTTCCCCAATCCACAGCTCAATTCATGTCAAAGCATTTACTTTTACCTACTAAAATGCTGTTAAACCTAAAATGGGGACGTGGGCCCAGCTAGTGAAGTTTTTATTCTCTGGAAGTCAACCGCCATCTTTTTTGTCTTGCTGAGATTCAGATGGAGGTGATTGCTGCCTGCCCACCAGCTCCCTGTACTCTGACTCCTGCCCACCCTAAATGCACCAAACCACTGCTGTGTCTTCAGAGACCTTCTGCAGGTGGCATGTTTCACTGTTGTACTACAAATCCGAGGTGTAGAAGGTAAACAGGACATAAGAGGTGACACCCATCTTGAGCAGCTTCTCACTCAGCAGAAGTAGTTGGATGAAGGCACAGGAATATAAAAAGAAACATGATACTTGCATGTCACCAGTACCATCCTGGTGAGAGTGACCATGCTGCAACAGGTAGACAGCAGTATCATCCACCCCCACAAGAGGCTGGAAAGCAAACTGAAGAGGGTTGAGAACATGTTTCACCTGCAAGCTGAACCAGTCTCCTCAGCACCTTGATGACATGTGATGGTCAATAATGGTCTGAATTCATTAAGGCCAGAAGGGGTGGCTTTCTTTGGTACTGGCACTGACAGTCAAGCGTCAGCCAGCAGAGGTTGCATGAGGAGAGGAGGGCTGCTGAGACAGGGCAATGACGGGGAGGGGTCAAGCTGTTCTAGCACTGAAAGCAAGTCTTCACCAGTTTTTCTCACAAAGGTGGTCTCAGTCTGGAGCTGAAGGGGTGCAGCAGAGGAGGATGTGGATGCAGGGAGGTGTTGATGAGAGAAAGAGGGGATCCAATTTACTTTGCACACAGGTATGTTGATGAGTGTGTTTGTCAGCTGCTCACACGCTGACTGCTGGTGAGGCAGGTTGGTAACACCTGGCTGTGTCTGTGGCTGCTGGCATGGCTCTGTCACAGATGAATGAGAAGAAGATGGCTGTATCTGATCTGGCCTCACACAAAGCTTCTTGGCTTGTTGAACTTCCTGTTCAGTCTTTTTTGTTTCAACAAATCTTTGAAATCTTCTCTCACTTGTGCTAGAGGTGCAATGTCAGATTCTCTTTCTCTTTTTGCCCTAAAAACAAACACCATAGAATTTTCAGGAGCTGATACAAACTTTTTTCAGTGATCTTTTCATCATTCAGTTCAGTGATGCACACGTGTACGGACTGCATGTTGGCAGTTTGGACATACGTAGTGTCTTTGGTGGACCAATCAGGATTCTTTTTGGTGTGACAGCATCTTTCTGTTTCTGCCTGACTGAAATATGTGGCCTTCTGTTCATTTGACAGTAACTTCCACTGTGGACAGAAGATCATAAGAACACACTGTCAGCATGCATAAGTACACAGCTACACTGCTACAACACATAACTATAGGACAGCTGCTACACATGCACAAACACCAGCATAAAGCATGAACAGATACGTATATATATGCAGATTTACACACTTACACTCGTTCCCACAACTGCATTTACCGCTGCACTTCTAGTGATGTTCAGCTCAGCCATGACCTTTGACCTCTGCTCTGTCAGGTACAGCATGAAAGCATTTGGTGGCTTCTTAATATATGACCACTCTTCATCCTGCTGGGATTGATGCTTTTTTTTTGCTGCAGGAATAAAATGCAGAGTAAAAGCACGTGTTACCTCTGTATACAACTGTGAGGAAAGTAGTTTAAAATAGTGGAATAAACTCCACTTCCCATGACTATCCAATAGGAAGCAGTGTATGGGTTGATGCAAAAGCATGCAGTATTCTGGCTGATGTGCAACTATAACAACAAAACATTACAAGAAAACAGATTTTCAAGATGTATCCTATATAGATATAAACACACATATTACTTTAAGAGTGCATTTTAAAGAGGACCATGAGGTCACAGAGAACCTGGTGTGAATTATTATGAAGGAATTTATAAATGAAAAGTTACTGAAGATGTGACACGTTTTCTTTTTCAAAGAAATTTGCTCATGGAGTTATCTTTGACCAAAACTTATAAATTACCCTAAGTGGAGATTCTGTTCATGCAGTTGCTTATTAATGAGACCTTTTACATCCAGGTCATGACCTTTGACCTTCTTCTGATGTATTGTGGATAATGTTCAGTTCTAGTGTTATTATTAGTTGGGGTTTAGTCTAGTTAATATTGTCATTCATGCTCTCTGGTTTATGTGTCATTTTCCTGTTTAGGTCTGCCTTGTCCTCTATGTATAACTTTTAGTTTAGCCTCATCCCCCTTATCTGTTCCCATGTTCCTCTCCTTGTGTTCCTTTCCGTTCCCCCAGTCTGTCATGTATTTCATGTCTGCGTGTTCCACATCCTCTTGCCAAGCTTGTGTTGTCACGTCTACATCTCTCCATGTTTTCTGTTTTATTTCGAAAGTCTTGTGTTTCCATGTTTAGTGTGTTTAGTTCTGCTTCCCCTGTGGCGTCAGGTTAATTGGTGACAGTTGTGTTTCTCCAGGTGTTTCCACTTTCCACTACCCCATTACCTTTCCATGTTTAAGTCCTCTGTCTTCCTTTGTTCAGTAGTCAGTTTGTCTGTTTGCCTTGCTTAATGTCACGTCAGGTCCTAATCATTCCAAAATTCAGAAATGTCAGCGAAACATCAGGGTTAAATCAGGGTTAAATCAACAAACAATTAACCCCTTAGCAGTCCTACAAATTTACAATTAGTCCCCTAAACCATCCAATGTACCGTGGGCGGTACATCCGACTGCTAACAGGTTAAATCAACAATTTAAACATAAATTTTCATCACTTGGTCCCAGGTGGAGCGTGGAGTGTCATTCCAGACTCCTCCTGGGGTCTCCTGTGAAGGCCCTGCCATTTCTTCCTCCCCTCGGACAGCCTCACCACTGAGCACAGCTTATGGGCTCATATGATAGTTGGTTTTTTTTGTTTATTTGGTTTCTCCTTTCCTTTTTTATTGTCATTACCCTATAAGACTGGCGTTGGTTGTCACACTTTTCAATCTTGCATGAATTGTTGATCATTGAAACATTGTTCAATAATCATTCTTTTATTAAATCAAAGCTTCAGATGCTGGTTCAAAATGGGTCTCTAACCCTAACCAAAAAAAAGTAATTAGCACTCTGTCACTGTGTAGCAACCAACCCCATAGCAGGGTTGGTTGTTACACACCTCTTTATAAACCTAGCTACCACTAGCTTTAATTTGCTAGTGAAAAACTGACTTCACCTTTTTAATAAGTGTCCATATTTATATAATGGCTAATGTTTTGTGATCTATCATTTATTTCAGATTTATTTATGTAGGTAGTCCCTTTGAAATTTAATGTCTCATGTAATATAATAAGGAAAACCATATGAAAAATTACTCTGACCCATGACAATTACATAAAACTTCTTCCTCTCAAAGTTTTATGTTGGGTCCACAAATTCACCAGTAAAAAAAAAA